GTATTCTGCTACTTGTTTTTGGTTAAAAAAATCACAATAATGTATATTGATTGCTTTTTGTGAAAGTTATATAGCGTTCTACAAATATGGTATAGATAATGGAATTTACACAGCTTTTGACATTTCTGACTGCTCATCGCATTTCTTGAGGGTGCTAACAATACCAGTGAAGGATGTACAAACCCCCTCAAATGGAAGCCACCTTTTCGGAAAATTAGACACCCTAAGCTAACTGCTGAGAGGCATATTGAGTCCATGGAAGAAGATTTATTTTTTTTCCACAAGTTTCTGCAAAATGACAAAAAAGTTGTCATTTAAATGATTTTATTTCTCGCACAAGTCATGGGTATATGTGGAATTACACCCCCAAAAATACACTCTGCTTACTTCTACTGAGTATTTCAGGGCCTCCCGAAACTGTGATAGGTAGTCTGGAAGAGTAATGAGGAAATAAACCCCTTTAAAGCCCTGAAGGTGCTTATTGGGATTTTTGGGGTCCTGTACTTGGCTAGATTGCCAAAAAGTCTCTCACATGTGGTACCCCATACTCGGGAGAAGTAGCAAAATGTATTTTGGGGAGTAATTCCACATATAACCATGGCATGTGTGAGCAGTAAATCATTTAAGTGACAATTTTGTGTAAAAAAAAAAAAAAAATTATTTTTGTCATTTTCCAAAAACTTGTGGTAAAAAATAAATTCTTTCTATTGATTCAACACTTCCTCTCAGCAAATAGTTTGTTTGGTGGTGGACTACTTTCCAAAAAGGGGTCATTTTGTGGGGTGGGGGCGTTTTATGGCCCCCAGCATTAGAAGTTTATGCCACACATCATTCACTCTTTCTAACCACCTGAAGGACCAAGCCGTTTTGTTCACATGAAAAAAATCAGTATTTTTTGCTAGGAATTTAATTAAACCCCCAAACCATTATATATTTTTTTAAAGCAGACACCCTAGTGAATAAAATTGGTGGGTACTACAATTTTTTATGGCACATAGCGCAGCGATTTTTCATAAGAAATTTAAATATTAAAAAAAATACACTTTTTTTTACGCTTTTAATGCACAAAAACTAAACACAATATATTGGCCAATTGTTTGGTTAAATATAAAAGATAATGGTAGGCCGAGTAAAATAGATACCAAACATGACATGCTTTTAAAACTGCGCATGCCCCGTTTCAATGGCGCCCCGCCAAACTGCAAACATTTTTAATAGCCTCATAGGCAGCGCTTTAAAAGCAACCATTTTAGATTACAGAGGAGGTCCTAGTGTTTAGAATTTCACTGCCCTTGATCTGACACTTCACGGCAATACTCACATGCATGGGTGCAACCGCCTGTTTACATAACGGCAAACAGAGTTAAGGTCAGGTCGTGCGCGGCATGGGAGGGGCAATTTTTTTTTTTTTTGATTTATTTTTGGTTTTTTTAATTCTTTTTACATTGTGTACCTTTCATTTTTTTTTTTTTTTTTTTTTTATCACTTTTAATGCTATAAGAGGGGAGGGAATGGAAAATAACCTCTATAACACTTCAATGGGCTATTGTCATATTCTTTTTTGAGAAATCTGGGGGTCTATCAGTGACTCTATGTCAGGGCTCCAGGTATGACCAGAGATGTGTGACTGATGCAGGGAAACGCAGACAGACTTCGGAAATGTGATAAACAATATAATTTATTAACACTAACCTCATACAAATACCATAAACGCAGGGCAATACTAAAACATAATACAGTGCAAACAAACCAAACCAACCACCCACAGATAACAGTACATACAAAGCAAGCGTCGTCATGCAGGCCGGGGTCAATATCAATTGGGCAAGGTAGGTAACGGGGGGAGCAAGCAGAGAATGGTCGGGGGTCACAGGCCAGGTTCAGCAGGGGGTAGCAAGCAGCGAGGTACAGAGGGTCAGACAGAGGGGTGGTCAGGGTCACAAGCCAGGAATCAGAGCAGGAGAGAAGGTCAGCAGCAGTTCAGATCAGGGTCAGCAAAGGAACAGAAACAGGATGCAGGACAGATACAGTGGGCCCAGGACAAACACACAACACCAAGGCAGGAGTCTGCAAAGTCTGGCCCATCCCTTGAAAATACCCAGTATCATCAGTTCCAAGGTGTTAGCTGGCTGAAAGGTTGAGTCTATCTGATTGCTGGGAGCACCCGCTGGCCAGCCTTGGTACTGCAGATCAAAAGGCAGGTGAGTCCCACCATTGCTGGCAAGTCCATTCCTATACAGTACCCCCCCCCTCAAGGAGCGGTCTCAGGATACGCTCCAAACAGTCTAGCTGGGCAAAATGTTCACCGCCCGGGTCTCTGGCAACTGGCGGCGATAGCAAAGACTGGCACACGGGCCCAGGACTCTCGGGCAGCGGCACACCGGGCTGGACTCACCAGGGGGCAGCGGAGAACATCGAGCAGAGGCACAACGGGCAGAGGCCACATCGGGCAGAGGCACATCGGGCAGGGACTCCGGGCAGGGCAGAGGCACACCGGGCAGAGGCACATCGGGCAGGACTCCGGGCAAGGGCACACCGGGCAGAGGCACACCGGGCAGAGGCACATCGGATTACCAGGCGAGAGCAGCAGCAGTGCGGCAAACCCCCGGGCCTGGACCGGGAGGGGCAGTGGATACCCGAGGCGGGCGGTGCCAGGCACCGGGGCCCACAGGGCGAGGCAGCAAGCATGCTAGGGCACTTCCCCGGGCCCCCGGGCGGAAGCAGCAGGCACCGGGCCCCCGGGCACAGGCACCGGGCCCCGGGCGGGGCTGCAGGGCATCGTTGCCCCCAGGCGTGGAGGGGGCGACAGGCATCGTGCCCCCAGGCGGGGACGACAGGCATCGTGCCCCCAGGCGGGGGCGACAGGCATCGTGCCCCCAGGCGGGGCGACAGGCATCGTGCCCCCAGGCGGGGGCGACCAGGCATCGTGCCCCCAGGCGGAGCGAATAGGACAGGTCTCGGGCCCTCAGGCGAGCTGAGGCGGGCGCCAGACCCCCCAGGTGGAGCGACAGGGTCCTCGGGCCCTCAGGCGGAGCGGCGGCCGCCTTGGGACCCCCAGGCGGAGCGGACAGGTCTCGGGCCCACCAGGCGAGCGCAGCGGCGGGCGCCGGAGCCCCCCAGATGGGAGAAGCGACAGGTCTCGGGCCCTCAGGCGGAAAGCGTGCGGGCGCCGGACCCCCAGGTGGAGCGACCAGGTCATCGGGCCCTCAGGCGGAGCGGCGGGCGCGGCGGCCCCCAGGTGGAGCGACAGGGTCTCGGGGCCCTCAGGCGGCGGAGCGGAGGGGCGCCGGACCCCCAGGAGGAGCGCACTGTCCCTCTCGGGCCCTCAGGCGGAAGCGGCGGGGCGCCGGACCCCCAGGTGGAGCAGACAGGTCTCGGGCCCTCAGGCGGAGGAGCGGCGGGCGCCGGACCCACCAGGTGGAGCGACATTCTGGTCTCGGGCCCTCAGGCGGAGCGGCGGGCGCCGGGAACCCACCAGGAGGAGCGACAGGTCTCGGGCCCTCAGGCGGAGCGGCGGGCGCCCGGGACCCCAGAGGTGGAGCGACAGGTCTCGGGCCCTCAGGCGGAGGGCGAGAAGTGCCGGACCCCCAGGTGGGGGTTCAATGACAGGTCTCGGGCCATCTCAGGCGGGCGAAGCGGCAGGGCGCACGGACCCCCAGATGGAGCTGACAGGGTCTCGGGCACCTCAGGCGGTAGCGACATGGTTTTCCTCAGTCAAAACCATGGGGGGCGGCGGGCCCGGGATCTCCCAGGCGGAGCGCGGCGGGCGCTGGGACCCCCAAGCGGAGCAACAGCCCGGTCTGGGCCCCCAGGCGGAGCGGCGGGCACCGGGTCAACAGGCATACGACAGTGGGCTCGACTCCCGAGGTTCAACTGGTATGACCGCAGGCACTGGGTCAGACATTGTAATGGTCTGGCTGGGGGTGGACAGGCGTGGCATCGGGGGCCCACCAGGCATCAGGTCATTTGGCTCGACAGTGGGCACCTGCGTCATCTGGCCCACAGGATGTGTGGGCTCCGAGTCACTATGGTATGACCGCGGGGCACTGGGTCAGACATTGGATCGTCCTGAGCGGACTGGGGGCATGACCCTGGGGTCACCAGGCAATCAGGTCATTTGGCTCGACGCGGGCACCGCGTCATCTGGCAAGGCTAGTGGGCTCCGAGTCAAACTGGTATGACCCCGCAGGCACTGGGTCAGACATTGTATGGTCTGGCTGGACAGTGCAATCTTTTTTCGGGTCACCAGGCATCAGCGTCATTTGGCTCGACAGCGGGGCACCGCGTTCATCTGGCAAGGCATGTGGGCTCCAAGTTCAACTGGTATGACCGCCTGGCCCTGGGTCAGACATTGGATCGTCTATGACTGGACAGCGGGCACTGGGTCCCCGGCATCAGGTTCATTTGGAGGCCGAAAGCGGGCACCGCTAGGGTCATCACGGCAATCAGGCATGCTGGGCTACCGAGTCAACGGGCACGACAGTGAGCACCGGCCTGGCATCAGGTACCGGATTGTCTGGCTCGACACGCGGGCATCGGGTCACCTGGTATGACAGCGGGCACTGGGTCACCAGGCATCAGGTTCATTTGGCTTGTCAGCGGGCACCGCGTCATCTGGCAAGGCAGTGGGCACCGGGTATCACCAGGCATTGGATCGTCTGGGCTCGAGTCAGCGGGCATCGGGTCACACAGGTAGGACAGCGCGGCACTCAGGTCACCAGGATCATCTGGGTCAAAATGGCAGGCAGTGGGCACCTGTGGGTCACCAGATATGACAGCGGGGCTCATGAGTCAATTGGCACGGACAGCGGGCACTCAGGGAATCAGGTACCGGGTAGCAGGATCTGGATTCAACAGCGGGCATCGAGTCAACTGGCCTTATAGGCCAGACTCGTCGGAGGGCTGGATCAGTTCATCATGCTGAGTAGCGGCATCAGGACTGAACTTGCAAGGCATCAGGGCTGAGGAGAGGCATCCGGCTGAAGAGAGGCATCCGGCTGAAGAGAGGCATCCGGCTGAAGTAGAGGCATCCGGCTGAAGAGAGGCATTCCGGCTGAAGAGAGGCATCCGGCTGAAGAGAGGCACATCCGATGTTGAAGAGAGGCTATCCGGCTGAAGAGAGGCATCAGGCTGAGTAGAGGCTTCAGGCTGAGTTAGAGGCTTCAGCCGAGTCCACGGAAGGCAGGCTCACTGGTTTGGATACTGGCAGGATGGTATTGGTTGGAAAGAATTTTCGCTTTTTTCTGGTTTTTAACTACTGGAGCACTGCAAGTAAACGCAGGTCTGCAAACGAATGGAGCAGCTGGGAGACAGAGAAAAAAACTGGAGGATGGAAACAGGAGAGGGAGCAGCAGGTTGCTACAGAGGGCTCTTTTACAGGGTTAAAGGAGCAGGATAGGTGACAGCACGCGAGTGGGAACAGGGTACTGACAGCGGTTAGATAGCAGGGGGCAGGAGGAGAATGGTGGGAATACAGGAGTATAGAGTTAGAAGCAGGACTGGGTCTTTGTAAGCTGACTGAGGCTGGGTGCAACAAATCTGTCCATGTCTGCAGTAGGGGGTTGAACAAAGCTGAGCTTACACAAAGTCTGTCTGGTCAATGACTGCACTGCGTTGATACAATCTCTCAGTGTCTGTGGTGAACATGTGGAGTAACGCTCCAAAAGGTAACCCACATCATCCTCTAATAACCACACCAGGGACTCTACCTGGTCTGCACTAAAATGGTGGCAAAAATTCATCCCTGCATTCGGGGGAACCAGATGAAACCAACTCTGCACCAAAACCTCAATCAATGGCTGCACCTCAGAGAACACTGTGCCCTGATCTACTAGAACATGAGCGAGCCGTATACATTCTAGCAATTCATCCCGGGTACTCCTTCAGAGTTTGATAAGCATACTCCCTGTCATCAAACACTAGCAGATATAAATACTCAACCTCATCAAGATCCATCCTTCCCATCAACAAGCCAAGATGGCTTCCCTGTGCAGCCACTTCTGGTCAGGATTGGCCTTGGTTGTAATGTCAGGGCTCCCAGGTATGACCAGAGATGTGTGACTGATGCAGGGAAAACGCAGACTTCGGAAATGTGATAAACAATAAATAATTTATTTAACACTAACCATACAAACATAAACGCAGGGCAATACTAAACATAATACAGTGCAAACAAACCAAACCAACCACCCACAGAGAAACAGTACATACAAGCAAGCGTCGTCAGGCAGGCCGGGTCAATATCAATTGGGCAGGTAGGTACGGGGGGAGCAAGCAGAGAATGGTCGGAAAGGTCTTCGGGGGGGGTCACAGGCCAGGTTCAGCAGGTAGCAAGCAGCGAGGTATACAGAGGGTCAGACAGAGGGGTGGTCAGGGTCACAAGCCAGGATCAGAGCAGGAGAAGTCAGCAGCAGTTCAGATCAGGGTCAGCACAAGGCAACAGAAACAGGATGCAGGACAGATACAGGGCCCAGGACAACACAACACCAAGGCAGAGTCTGCAAGTCTGGGCCATCCCTTAAATACCCCAGTATCATCAGTTCCAGGTGTTAGCTGGCTGAAAGGTTGAGTCTCTGATTGCTGGGAGCACCCGCTGGCCAGCCCTGGTACTGCAGATCAAAAGGCAGGTGAGTCCCACCATTGCTGGCCAGTCCATTCCTAACACTCTAGATATCTCCTCTGCCCTTACATTATCTAATCAAACCAAAATCGGTGTGATCAGATGCTTTCCCAATTTACAAATGGCGCTGTTTATACCCTGCGAAACTGAAGTGATGAAATGCTTGTAGCTTCCGAATTCTTAGACTATAGAGATGATTGGCACCATTCTGGTCTCCAATCAGCTCTATGGTCAGCTGGCATAAACACCGGCTGCATTCTCAGGTTCCCGATGGCACGGGAACTGCCCGAGAAGGTGGTGGAAGGCAGCGGGGGAGGGGGGACATTATCTCTTACTGTTTGTCAAAGCAATCTTGCAGCTAATTATCCACTAGGATTGCTTTTACATGAAAGCCGATCACCGGCTGAAAAAAAAACGATACCAGGATGATGCCTTGCAGCTGTAGGCATCATCCTGGTATAACCATTCAAATCCAGTGATGTACCAGTACATCGCTGGTCCTTGTTGGTTATATATGTCTATGTTCTTTTTTTTTCTGTATGCAGCCAGTGGACTGAATGAAAAAAATTAGAAGATAATCTCTGCCAGAAAAAGTGTGTGTGGTATGCCCACCATTAGAATATACCGCCCTGCATCCACCCACTTCTAATGGTGGGCACACATTAGGTCACACTTTGCCACAAATGCCAGTTCCAAGATTGAATAAATGTCTAAATAGTGGCACACGCTTGAATAAAAATTGTCCACGTATAAGTGGTACACCATATGGAGAAATGATGAGACACAAGTCCCAAAACTATCTTGCCACTGCTCCCCATGTAGTCTGGGCATCCGGGGGGCTCCACACGTGACTTATCTTTTCCCTCGTAAATCCGAAACTTATAAGTATAGCCTGTTGTCCTCAACGCAGGACTCCTCAACGCAGATGTTTTGCTGGGGAGTATAGACATCTGCAAATTTTTGGTTAAGGTGATTTTGGAGGGGCTGAATTTTTTGGAGCCGGTCAAATTCAGGGTTACCCCGAGGATGACAGAGTGTATTGTCGCTGAAATGCATAAAACACATTATACTCTCATATCTATGCCTGGCCATGGCAGCAGAGAACACGGGCATATGATGAATCGGGTCTGCGGACCAATACAACCGCAATTCATTTTCTTTTAGTAATGCCCGTGTTGAGGGTTAGGCCCAAAAATAATGTAAATTTGAAAACCGTAATGAGTTTCCATGCGAATGGTCTGGCAAGGTTTGAATTTGGGTTGGCGGCGATAAATTGTTGTGCATATAAACTGCTTTGATCCACAATCAACGCATACAGATATTCCGTGAAAAACAGCTCCAAAAATCAAAAAGGTATGTGAAAGACCAGGATTGTACTAGACCGCTGGTACTCGCCAGTTCACCAAAAGGTAGAGCGGCACTAGTACTGGCACTCTGCTGCATATGAGGAGTCATCAAAATTTACCGGCAAGTGCTAACAGAGATCAGGCCTGATTTTGCGAACACTGCGGTTTTGGTAACAATGTATCAAGTGACAGTGACCTACTGACACTGCACTTGCTGGGGGAGAAGGGGGGGGTAAGCGTAGGGGCTAAACGCAGGTGTTGGCAGGTACCGTGGTTGATCCCGCTAACGCTGCGTTTTTGGGGATGCATAATACTAATGTGAACGCTGGTATAGTGCTGACCTGATCAATGATATTGACCCGTTCAGACACTATACTAGCAATGGAGGTTTATTGTACATGAGCGTGCTCCTGGCAATCAGGGGTAAATGTGATGACTGGTGTGTACTGACGGGCAATCTGACGCTATCTGGGAGGGGTGTGAAAACCACAGGAGCGCGAATCACATATATAAATATATATATATATGTGATTTTGCGTACCCATGCCGCCCTGTAGCAGTATTTCTGCTGTAGGATGGTCAGGAAGCGGTTACAGAAGAGGTTTGTGTTACGGTGACTGCGTTACTTTAACTGACAATTGCGACGGTCAT